ATCAGCTGACTTTTTCCTTCTACTTAAATTTCCATGAGAAACTTATTGGTTGTAGGTAAACAAAAAATATCCGTCAGTTGACGTTTGAGCGACCGACATTTGAGCAACCGACATTACCGCGATCAGATCCCGAGTCTTCCGCGAATTTTTCGTAGTAAACATTTGGGTATTTACTACTATAGTCAATACTACTATTGAGGGTGGTCTTCTAATGCGTCCCCAGGTTTAGAGCTCTTCTTCCTAGTTTTAAACGAACCAGCGTCTTATAAGGTAGTCTTGAGGTTAGAACAATCAGCTGTGCAACGTTGACTCCGAACCTGTTTGAAATTTTGGTCTCAAAAAAGCGCTTGTTGAAACAGAAAATAGCAGATTTACTAGAGGCGCGTACACGTGCCACAAAATGGCTTGATTCAAATTCTTCAAGCTTAAAATATCGAAAACTATATGTAGACATTTTTTTGAGCGAAATGACACGGGTTTTGCTTCGTAATATTGCCAGGATGAAGCCTGAGTTTGTCAAAATTTCTCAGTAATTGAAATTTCAACACATTTCCACTTCAGATGGGATCCACATCAAGAAATTTTGAGTTTTGAGTGGAAGATATAGTAACTGAGGAACGCAGCCGTAATTGTTCAAAGATGAAGTGAACGCTAATCGGCTCACTAACAATAACCCCTCCAATCGGTCCCAACCTCATCAGAATCACATCCGATTATCATATTCGATGATTTCAACCCTTCCGAGCGCTTTCAGTCGAATATATCCGACAAAATCTACTAGAAACAAAGCAACAATTTAGCACCAACAGTATGACTGTAAAATCAACATTTCTCAGTAACCATACCAGATCAAGCCTAGGACACTACATCATTCGATGCGCCATGAAAAGAAAAGCTCCATTCTGTAGAGCAAATATTTCTGAAAAAAATGAGACGTCTCCGAGCTCTTTACGATAATTTTTAGTGAATCAGCATTCAATTTAGGGACCAACAAACATATCAACAAAACTAATGGGGAAACAAGCGTTGGGCCTTCCGTAAATTGAATGCTGAGTCACTAAAAGTTATCGTAAAGAGCTCGGAGACGTCTCATTTTCTTCAGAAATGTTTGCTCTACAGAATAGAGATTTTGCAACGAATTTCCAGATTGAACTCTGGGAGTTGTTTTTCTGAGATTTGGGTTTTCCAGAAACCCTGGTTCAAAGAGCTATGATACAACCCTTTTATGCAGCACAGCAGATTCCAAATTCTATCAGCTGTTCAAATCTTTTTTCAAATTTGTTCTAGCTTGTATGTTTCACGAGAAAAATGAAAATAAATGTGGCGAGCAATTTTTGGAGCCATTCTAGGTTAAAGCGGCGCAGTATTTAATATCCAAACACGGCTGCCAGGCTTGGTTAAGTTTCCTATTAACATATCTTGCAGAGCTTTCCAAGGCGCACAGAATAATGTATGAATGATTAGAGAACCTCTTTAGTTTCATAGCAGAAAGTGACAAAGCGTTCCCGTGGTAAAGCCACGACTGATGGAAAGTCTCATATTAAATTTATAAAACATGCTGCCCCACTTCGTTAAGTTTCTTATTCACACATATTGTGGTGCTTTTCATAGCGCATCGAATGATATATGAATGTTGGGATCATCTTTAGTTTCAGAGAAGAAAGCGAAAAGGAGTTCGCTTAGCATAGCCTTGACCTATAGACCTATATATTTTTGAGAAGATAATGATTGGAACTGATCAGAAACCGATCGTTATTTAGTTTTTAATTTTTCTACGCCTTAAAACATGATTGTAGACTACGGTATGCTGAAATTTTTAATCAGTTCTGAGCATTGGTCCAAAAAGCCTGTGTATTTATTCATTTCTCTGTACAAGTTCGATGTTCTTAATAGAACCTTACATACGAAAGCGACATTTTTGCGTGAAACAGCATTCAATTTACCGAAGGCCCTAAAGCCGTATCTTTCCTGTTTTCCTGTGAGTTGTGATGGTATGGGGGCTTCAATAAATTGAATGCTGTTTCACGAAAAAATGTCGCAAAGAGCTCGAAGACGTCTCATTTTCTTTAATAGAACAGTTTTAAAGTAGTTTATAGACCGATCACTTGTTTACAAAATGAACTACAATATTAATACCACCACAATTAGCATCATTCATCAACTTTTCAAACTTTAGTTCTGACTCGGACTACTTCATTCTTAAAGAAAACTGATATTGGTGATGTTCTACAACATATTTCTGCTCGTATTTGAACAAAACCTTCATGGAAACACTGGAGGCATCGCAACTGCGATAGTTTTTCTTTTTCGATTTAATTAGCTTTTAATGTGTGTTAGCATTATACGTTAAACATTCTATTCTAGCTTTTAAACACAAAAAGGTCATTTAACACTGTCTGTCAAATCACATCCTACACATGTTTTTAGTTTTCAGGCTTAATTTTAATATATACATAACACATATTAACGCAACATCATTAAGCTGCTTGATAAACGCCTGTGATGCAAAGATGATTATTAAAAGACCAGCGTAATGTTTAATTTTGAAATTTCGACCACCTGCTACAACTTAAGTTCCTTTATAATACTTTATGGCGCCAGTGTCAATTAGGAAAATATAAACGAAAAAGGCGACCGTTTTAAATACCAAAGTAATCCATACAAACATTGCAAAAGTTACATCGTTTATTAGCGGCGTCATATTTAGTCTATTAGTTCGAAACTTCCTCTGCATTGAGAGTATTACAAGAAACTCCGAGCATGAATTTCTCACCCTATGCATACCAAGCAAATTATTGCTATATTGAATTTTCATCTATTAGACTCTATCGTTCAATAGAAATATTCTTCAATACACTACACTACACAAGGCCAACAGCACACTGCTTTCAACATGTTAATACTATGTATAAACCTTTAGTGTCAGTTTTCTTTGAGAAGGAAGTAGTCCGAGTCAGAACTAAAGTTTGAAAAGTTGATGAATGATGCTAATTGGTGGTATTAATATTATAGTTCATTCTGTAAACAAGTGATCGGTCTATAAACTACTTTAAAACTGTTCTATTATAACGGAGTTTGACTGTGTGGTAGCTATTTTACTGACAGAAACCAAGTGTCTTAACCTAACAAATTTCAATAAGTTGAAGTTTTCGGCCATTAACTTATGATTTGAGCCTCTTGGCGTTAGCCTAACTTGTTCAGCTTTTTCTGGTCGTTCGATTCATGTGTAACTCGGATTTTTAATACTTTCGGTAATTACTTGCTCTTGTTTAACGTATTGAACCAATAATGTATTCTGATATGTCGATACCATTCAGAACGTTCAGTTAAATGAGCGATTGTTGTTTCTATTGGTTCAAACATGTTCTTCATGTTTTCTTGTTCATCTAATTCTGTGACCAGTGGTGCAATTTTCGATGCGATGAATTTCACTATTTGTAGAGTTATCTTGACTGCTGGTAAAGTTTCTTCAACAACCGTGTATACATTCTTAATCAGTTCATCCTAAGTTTTCGTTTGAATATTATTCAAAACCACCAGGGCTTTATATTTGTTCATTTGATCAATGTGTTTTATCTTCATTTCATTTTCTTTCCTTTCGTGCTCCAATTTCATTTTTTCAAAATCACTTTGTAAATGTTTTATTACATCCCAAATCGATTCATTTGATTCTATTGAACCAATTGTTTTCGTTTGATTCGACCTTATCAGTGGCCACGTATTATAATCGTTTCTTTTAAAAATAATCTGCTGTTGAGAATGATGTTGTTGAAAATTGTTGGTCCGTGTTGGATTAAACAGAGCTTTTGCTTTCATTTCATCCTGACGTCGACACTCCGAGGGTATGAACAATTGAATATGAGGAGGCAATAAATCAGCTCGTTTTTTTAATTCCATTAATAGTTGTTTACGATACGCTGCAATTCGTGGACATAAATAGTTTAAAGTAATTAAGAAC